CCTGGTCCTTCTCCTTACACTGGGCCGACCGGAGGTCTTGCGGAGCGTCGTGAGCCTGAGTCTCGTCCTGCGTCGCCTGTTCGCGCTGTTCGCACTGGTCGTCGTGTTCCACGTCCGCGTCCTCCTCCTGTCCCAGGCACGCACCAGATGGCACTTCGTCCTTCCTCTGTTCCACAGCGTGTCCCTCTGTCGTCTCCTCCTGCGTCCTCTCTTCTTGACGTTCCTGTCCCGCCGTCAGACCTTGCTCGTGCTGCTAGTCCAACTGTCACTCGTCTTCTCGCTATTGTTGTCACTGACCCTTCGTTTGAGTCCACTGCTGCGTCTGCCTTAGTTGCTGAGCTTGTTGACTTTGCTGCCGCCTGTCGTCTAGACTACGCCGCTAGTCTTGTTGCTGAGTCTGAGTCTGTCTGTCCTCCGTCCGTCGGGGGTGAGTGTGCTCTTGGCACGGACGTCCTTGAGGACAGGCAGGAGGAGTTTGAGTGTTTTGTAGCTGCTTTACCTCATCTCGTGTCCATGCTGATTGCACCTGAGGGAGACCCGGATGCACCAGACATCCCGACCCTGCGCTCTTACGCAGAGGCGATAGAGGGTCCCTACTCCTCTCAGTGGCAGACAGCCATGGACGCAGAGATGGCTTCCTGGAAGTCCACAGGCACCTACGTCGACGAGGTTCCCCCACCTGGGGCGAACATCGTCAGTGGCATGTGGATTTTCAGGGTGAAGCGGCCGCCGGGTTCTCCGCCTGTCTTCAAGGCGCGTTACGTTGCACGAGGCTTCAGTCAGCGAGAGGGAGTTGTCTTCTTTCAGACCTTCTCCCCTACCCCGAAGATGACCACTCTTCGGGTGCTGCTGCACGTCGCCGCTCAGCGTGACTACGAGCTTCACTCTCTTGACTTCAGCACAGCCTTCCTACAGGGCAGCCTGCACGAGGAGATCTGGCTGCGCCGCCCACCTGGCTTCACTGGGTCGTTTCCTGCTGGTACCCAGTGGAGCCTCCGGCGGCAGTCTACGGTCTCCGCCAGGCGCCTCGCGAGTGGCACGACACACTGAGGACGACGCTTGCGGCTCTTGGGTTTGCTCCTTCCTCTGCTGACCCGTCGCTGTTTCTACGCACCCACACCTCTCTGCCGCCGTTCTACATCCTCATGTACGTCGACGACTTGGTCTTTGCTACCGCTGACACTGCGGGAATCGCCTTTGTGAAGTCGGAGCTGCAGAAGAGACACACGTGCACAGACCTGGGTGAGCTGCGCAGCTATCTTGGCTTGCAGATCACCCGGGACAGAGCACAGCGCACCATTACCTTGACTCAGTCACACATGGTGCAGCAGGTCCTTCAGCGCTTCGGCTTCACGTACTCCTCGTCACAGTCCACTCCTCTGCCTACTCGCCACTCGCTCTCAGCTCTGCCTTCGAATGAGTCCGTAGAGCCGAGTGGCCCGTATCCAGAGCTTGTGGGCTGCCTCATGTACTTGATGACCTGCACTCGACCTGACCTTGCCTACCCTCTTAGCATCCTGGCACGCTATGTTGCTCCTGGGAGACACCGACCAGAGCACATGGATGCCGCTAAGAGGTTGTTGCGCTACTTGTGCAGTACGTTGGGCATGGGGCTCGTGCTTGGAGGACGGGCTCGAGTTGTCCTCACTGGTCACGCAGACGCTTCCTGGGTTGACGACTTGGCTACGCAGCGGTCGTCACAGGGTTACACTTTCAGCCTTGGCTCCGGCTCTATTTCGTGGCGGTCTACCCGCTCGTCTTCTGTTCTCAGTTCCAGTTGTGAGGCTGAGATCTACGCAGGGGCCATGGCTGCACAAGAGTTACGCTGGCTCACGTACCTGCTGACCGACTTGGGAGAGCCGCCTCGTTCTCCTCCAGTTCTGTACGTCGACAACAAGGCCATGATTGCCTTGTGTCAGGAGCACAGACTGGAGCACAGAACGAAGCACATCGCTCTGCGCTACTTCCTTGCTCGAGAGTTGCAGCAGCGTGGTCAGCTTGGTCTTGCTTACGTGGCCACTCGGGCCAACACTGCTGATATCTTCACCAAGGCACTTCAGCCTTGTGATCATCAGCGTTTCTGTACTGTTCTAGGCCTTGTGCCTACTTGGCCTCACTTGCTCACTTCTTGACTTTGCTTGTACTGTGATCCCTATACATATACCTGCATGCTTACACTTGCTAGGTTGTGATCACTGTATTGCTTGTTCTCCTTTATATAACTCTGCATGTGAACTGGGCTTGTGGCCATTTGCTTGTGCTCAGAATGCGTGGTGACTTCGTGATCCACCCTGAGCTTGTTTTGCTTTTCTTGACTGGTCTTGTGACCTCTTGTTCTCCCCCACTTTGCCTATGGGGGTGTGTCAAACTTATATGCTATATCTTGTGTAGGCTATAGTGGGCCCATATGGGGTACAACCCAATTAGGGTTAGTACTTGTACCCATCCTGCTGTTAGTCAATCATTCCTCGTTCATTTTCGTGACAAAAACGGCAGTGTACAAAGTTGGACCCGCCCTTAGGGCGAGCCCCCAAACCTAAACCGCACCTTCCTTCCTGGCTTCGTGATCCCTCGCCCATCCCCCGCCCCTCACATTTTTGGTGTCGTGGCGAACGGGGCCGAAGTGAAATGTTCGCTACCACTGCTTCGCAGTTCTTTTATTTCGTGAAGAATCGAATACGGAGGGGACTGGAGGGGCAAGTCATCGACCGTCGTTTGAGGTGGAAGAGAAGAAACGATTCAGCAGGGGACGCAAGTGCAACGAATGGATGGTATTAGGGCGTTCTCCATTTTGATTGTTTTCATTTTTCCGGACGGTTCTCTTTTTTGGTATCGGACGGTCCTAATAGCGAGGGTGGGAATTGCCATTTCGGAACTTTGCCCCGTCTAGATGCAATGCTGTAACTTTTTTTAGGGTTTTGAATTTCTCGAAGTAGTGTAGCCTCGTTATGGGCACTGTAGCGTCGTTACACAAGTCACGACATATTTTCGGCAAAAAATGTGCGCCAATCTGATTTCATATTTTAGGAAGATTTTGCGCTCCAATCTCTAGTCAGTACTATTGCACTGTCCATTTAGTCATATTCTTAAAACCAGGGTGCACATTCAACGCGGTTCGGCTTGAGATGTTGGGAAGGGGGTTTGGAGAAAAACAGTGATTGGCTCACGAGGGGCGACAAAAAAATGATTCCGCTAGAGCTTCGGGCATTTCGTAGGTGGCGGGAGGGGGTGAAATGGCGGGAGTGGGTGAAACCGAATGGCGGGAGGGATGAAACAGATTGGCGGGAGGGGGGGGAAACGAAATTGCGGGGGAGGGGGGAAACAAAATTGCGGGGGAGGGGGGAAACGAATTTCGACGGGGAGGGGGAAATGAAATTGCGGGGGCGTGGGGAAACGAAATTGCGGGGGAGGGGGGAAACGAATTTCGACTTGAAGGGGTTGAAAGCACACCTCGTAACCCACTCAGTCAAGGGATAACCTTTGATGCACATTCAGCTGAATGTGCACCCCGGTTTTAACCGTTGAAAAGGATGGAAAAGTGACGCCACGGTTCGGATTGTTGGCGACGTCGCACATATTTTCACGAACTTTATTACGAAAGTGTACGAAACCGGTAACCCCTCGTCGGTTCGAACCGTCGGGGGAAAATGGAGACACGCCCTTATGCAGGGACTGGACGGACCGTCCGGTCTAACCCTAAAAGAAACCCAAACTTCACAACTCGTGCCGCTGCTAGCCAAATCGGAAAGGATTGCTCTCCTTCGTGGATAGCTCTTCCCTGATTTCGGACAGGTTTCCCTGAGAAATCAGTCGCTTTCGCGACCGAACCGAACTGATGAAAATCTGACGATCACAGAAGGCAGTGCCGCAAGCAGCTCATAACTGCAATCGCAGGGTGATTTTGATGCTCGTGCCACCCAATGACCAGGTGGTACAATCGTGGAAGCCTGGCAGTGCGGTCACAAAACCGTACTACGAAATAAGTCTCAAGGAAAAACACCCTGATTTTCTGGGCCCTGCACCGCGATCATCCTCATGATCGCGTTCTAGGAGTCAAATAGCTTGAACAGATAGTTATAATCGCTGTCAGTGCTTCCAATAAGTACGAGTCGACTGCGTAGTCGTCCAATAGCGATGCAGCAATGCGAGATGGCTGTACTCCGGGCCTCGTTCACGCTTCCTTTTCATCCCGTTTCCGTTCCCTCCCCGGCTAGTGCGGCGGGAATGGCCGCTTTTTCACTACATAAACCCCCACTTCCCTCCCTTCACCATATCTCGCCATTCCACTCGAGTTTCCCTCCTTTTCAGTCTCCCCTCACTCATCGCTGCGCCTTGCGTCGCTTCACTCCATCTCGATTCACATCGCCGCGCTCGTACTTGGACCCGCCACCAAAGCAGCGGCAGGCCGCAGTGCAGAGCCGTTGGCGCCGGTGGGGCCGTCATCACGCGCTCACCACGCTGCAGCGTGCAGCCTCGCCTTCCCCTTGCCTATCGCCCCGTCTCTCGTCGCCATGGCGCGCGGCCAACGTTCTGCCCTTCAAGCTGGCCTCGCCACGCTCGCTGGCGTCGTTGCTCTCGCGCTCCTCGCAGCCACCAGCGTTGACGCTATATGCGACTCGATGGTGACATTCGAAGATCAATACTTGTTTATCGACAATTGTGTGTGCGAAGACGTGGATCGGAGCGGGTTCGCGGATGGAACCAACGTGAACGCGCAGATCGAGTGGCAGGGCATGTATGGTGCTGAGCGCAGGTGCAGCAGCATCTCCTTCCACTCCACGCCGGGCTGCGGGGGAAGTCCATACGAGACGCACCTGCGTCCTCCGCCGGACTGGGATTTTTTGGACTATGCGTGTGAGCTCGCATGTGCCGCCCATGGAAATCTCCTTCGGTTTGGTTCGGTTGGTGCGCATTTGCGCCCCTCTCCTTCTTCCACGTGTCTCACTCTGATCGTTCCCTGTGCTCCCCTGCCGCCCCCATGCCCCCGCTGCTGCTCTCAGGTCGCTCCCTGCCGAGCGGATACCAGCGTCAGTGAGATGCGAGACGGGTGAGATTGCACCGCTGGCCCCGCACTCACTTCCTAGCTGCCACACGCTTGTCCATCGTGCAACCACACTCCCCCGCTGACTTGCACGCTCTCTATCCTTCCATCCCTCGTTCCAAGTGCCAAGGGTTGAGCTGTTTGATTTGAACCTCGCCATGTCATTTTTCTCCCTGCCGCCCCACGCTTGTCCCACAGGCTGCGGTGATGACTGTGGGTCAGAAGCTAGGTGCATTGCGAGGGACGGCCAGAACCAGTGTGTGTGCCCTGGGTCTCAGCTCTACGACGACACTCAGAAGCAGTGCCGTGGTGAGTGGCGCTTGGCGAGTGTGAGTGCGTAGTGAGGGAGGCAACCCCAACTGTACGTGCCTGAGACTGGAGCTTCTTGGAGTGTGGATGCCATGCTCTTTCCTTCACCTCCTCACGCCTTCCCCATCGTGTGTGTCCCTTGCTTCCGTGGCGCGCTGTGCTGGAGTCTCTGGGCGGGATCTCAACTATCGGAGGGCCACCAGTATTTGTCCCTCTTTATCTTCTGCTCGCCTCGTCGTTCCCCTCCATTCTCCCGTCTTGCCCATCTTAATCTGGCCGTCCTTCCCCTCCTTCCCGTGCCAGACTCTTACTTCTCCTCCCTTCTATTCTTGCTTCTCCTCCCTTCTATTCTTACTTCTCCTCCCTTCTATTCTTACTTCTCCTCCCTTCTATTCTTGCTTCTCCTCCCTTCTATTCTTGCTTCTCCTCCCTTCTATTCTTGCTTCTCCTCCCTTCTATTCTTGCTTCTCCTCCCTTCTATTCTTACTTCTCCTCCCTTCTATTCTTACTTCTCCTCCCTTCTATTCTTGCTTCTCCTCCCTTCTATTCTTGCTTCTCCTCCCTTCTATTCTTACTTCTCCTCCCTTCTATTCTTACTTCTCCTCCCTTCTATTCTTACTTCTCCTCCCTTCTATTCTTGCTTCTCCTCCCTTCTATTCTTGCTTCTCCTCCCTTCTATTCTTGCTTCTCCTCCCTTCTATTCTTGCTTCTCCTCCCTTCTATTCTTGCTTCTCCTCCCTTCTATTCTTACTTCTCCTCCCTTCTATTCTTGCTTCTCCTCCCTTCTATTCTTGCTTCTCCTCCCTTCTATTCTTGCTTCTCCTCCCTTCTATTCTTGCTTCTCCTCCCTTCTATTCTTACTTCTCCTCCCTTCTATTCTTACTTCTCCTCCCTTCGATTCTTGCTTCTCCTCCCTTCTATTCTTGCTTCTCCTCCCTTCTATTCTTGCTTCTCCTCCCTTCTATTCTTGCTTCTCCTCCCTTCTATTCTTACTTCTCCTCCCTTCTATTCTTGCTTCTCCTCCCTTCTATTCTTGCTTCTCCTCCCTTCTATTCTTGCTTCTCCTCCCTTCTATTCTTGCTTCTCCTCCCTTCTATTCTTACTTCTCCTCCCTTCTATTCTTACTTCTCCTCCCTTCTATTCTTGCTTCTCCTCCCTTCTATTCTTGCTTCTCCTCCCTTCTATTCTTACTTCTCCTCCCTTCTACTCTTGCTTCTCCTCCCTTCTACTCTTACTTCTCCTCCCTTCTATTCTTACTTCTCCTCCCTTCTATTCTTGCTTCTCCTCCCTTCTATTCTTGCTTCTCCTCCCTTCTATTCTTACTTCTCCTCCCTTCTACTCTTACTTCTCCTCCCTTCTACTCTTGCTTCTCCTGCAACTCATTTATGGGAGAGGCCCTGATCCTCTCACGTGTGCCGTTCTGAATCATTCGGCCACCAAAGGTTACTTCTCGTACGCCTTGCTCGCCCATCCACTGCTGTCTGCAGAGCCCCCACCACCAACCTGTGCGCAGTTGCCGCCGTGTCCCACCAACTCCACCTGCAGTGATAATGACAAGCCTTCCCAATGCCTCTGCAATGAGGGGTTCACGATGAAGAACAAGCAGTGCATTCGTAAGGCCCTGAATTCTCTCCCTCTTCCTTTGTCTACTTCTTCCTTGTTCCATTTCATGCCTGTGAAAGACAGTATGTATCTCACGTAAGCTGATCATTCAGCAACCTAAGCTTGCCTTTCTTGTGCTTTCCCCATCCCTCCCCTGCTATGTGCAGCGCTAACCTGTGAGGAGTTGGAGTGTCCGACCAACTCCTTCTGCGTTGAGAAGGAAATCCCTCGCAAATGCCGCTGCTATGATGGGTTTAAGACGAAGGACAATCAGTGCATTCGTAAGCCACTTGCTGCTCTCCCTCTTCCTTCTCACCCTCTTTCTTCTTACCCCATGCTTCTGTTCATTGCGTTTGCTGTTCATGCTGTTGCCTGTGTGGGAGAGTACGCCTCTCATATGTGCCGCTCTCAATAGCCGGCCACTGAAGCTTGTTTTTCGTGCGCCTTGCCCGGCCCTCACTACATACAGTGCTAACTTGTGCGGACTTGGAATGTCCGGCCAACTCCACGTGCAAGGATAATCCGTATGAGAATGTCAAGTGCAAGTGCAAGGATGGGCTCATTATGACGGACGATCAGTGCATTGGTGAGCCACTTGTTCCTCTCCCTCTGCAACCATCACCTCGTTTCGGATCCTTTCTTGTGCACTCGTGAGCCACCTGCTTCTCGAATGGTCCTTTGTTCTTCTTCCTTAATTCCCTCTCCCCTCTCACTGTCAATGTGTCTCACCTTATCGACTGTCAACACACTCTTGCTTCTCAGTCCTTTGGTTCTTTCCCTCATGCTTCATTTCGTTACCTAAGCTGATCCGTATGCTGCATGTGGGAAGAGAGTACGCCACCTTCTTGTGCCCCAAGCTTTTCTTTTCAACCACCAGAGCTTGCTTTTCTGGCTTGTCCCACCCCTACTATGTGCAGTGCCTCCTCCCACCTGTAATGACATCGTGTGCACGGATCCCTACTCGCTCTGTGATATCGATGGCAATCCTCCCCAATGCATCTGCATGTGGGGGCGCAACAAGGAGAACAACCAGTGCTCTGGTAAGTCTCTTGCATCTCCTCCTCTTTCCTCACCTAGTTGTTTCTCAACACACTCTCTCTTCTCACCCACTTGGTTCCTCCCCTCATGCCTCCGTTTGTTGTGTAAGCTGATCCGTTTGTTGCCTGTGTGGAAGAGGGTTCCTCTCATGTGTGCCGCTCTCAATCATTGGGCCTCCAACGCTTGCATTGGGGGCAAGGTGTGTCCGGCCGACCAACGCCTCCCACCAACCCTTGCTTTTGCACCCTCCACTGCTCATCCCGCCAATGCTCGTCCCTCTATCTGCAGCGCCGAAGTGTGGGGGCAAGGTGTGTCCGGCCGACTCCACCTGCAGCTACGCTAGGGAGTGCGTGTGCAATGAGGGGTTCGAGATGGATAAGGATGAGCCCCGAATCTGCCAGCCCCGAACCTGCCAGCCCCGAATCTGCCAGCCCCGAACCTGCCAGCCCCGAATCTGCCAGCCCCGAACACCGTGCCAGCCCCGAACACCGTGCCAGCCCCGAACACCGTGCCAGCCCCGAACCCTTGTGCAACAATCAAGTGTTCGGCGAATGCGGCTTGCGTGGTGGAGAGTCGCAAAGGGGTCTGCAAGTGCAGCGATGGCTACATCAAGAAAGGCGTTTGCACTGGTGAGAGAATTGCGTATGCAATTTACGGAAGAAAGTATTGATTTGTGTTGCACAGGAGATGTTGTATTGTGCGCAAGCTAACTTGGCGTTTTACCTGTATGTTTCACAAGTGTCAACGTGCTCCTTGCGTGTTGTGAATCCTATGGGTCATCCATGTCTTGCTCACGATTCTCTAAGTGCATCTCATGTTTCGGACGTGGTTGGAACATCTCAACACTTGCATTTTCCTCTCTTGCTCCTCCCGTGGTCTCCGTTCCCCTTTTGCAGCAATTTGCAAGCCTGGCTGCTCCAGAAACGAGGAGTGTGTGATGGTGGGCAGCAATACCGAGTGTCGCTGCAAGGCTGGATACAGCTAGACGAGGAAGGGCAAGTGCATGCGCTCATCCAGGAGGCGCAAATGAGGGGCTGGTCGAATCGGCAACAATGGTGAGCCGTGGTTCATTCTCCCCACCCCCCTGCAGAAAAGTGTTGGTCACCTCACCACCACCCGCCACATGTCATGCCATCCTGGTTTCTGCATTTGCAAAAGGGAATCTCCTCTCCCTCCCCATCCATGGACGCTCTCCATCTACGGCGAACACATTGAGCACATTGTAGTGCTGATGGCTTTCTTCCCCCTTGGTCGTGCAGCTGTTTGAGGAGCACCAGCCACGGGGCTGATGGGTCAGGCAGGCCAGCAGCACTTGCATTCCCGAGCCCAGCATCCTCCTCAGCATCAAGCGTTCCTTGTCCTGCTTCCTTTTCGACAGCACGAATGCTGCTGCAAGGGTTCACGCTGGTGTCTATGTGCTTGTAATTTAGGTGGGCTTTGCTTTGTGGGCTGTTGCTGCTTATCATGACTGTATTGTACTGTACACCATAGCCATGTGGGTGGGTTATTGTTAGTGGACTTGTGCTTATACGGTATTGTTATATGGGATGTTTCTCGTTTGAGAAAATGTGTTCGGTTATATTCACAAATACGCATGTTGAAAGGTGAAAGGCTGTGACTCTGATTGCCAGTTCTTCATTGTAAGCATTCATTCCGTTCCTTGCTCACAAGGGGGTTCCTCGCAAGGGCCACGTAGCCACCCATGGGGTGGGGATGGTGGTTCATCTACGGTAGTAGGAATTACAGTAGGGAGGAATGTACCCATTCTGAAGTTATTCCAGTGACATTGCTAGTGGTGTCAAATTGTCAATCCAGCGGTTCATGCAGCATGCAAGTTGGAGCACAGTCGCTTCTGACTGAAAGACGAGCAGTCAAGGGCAGCATCATTCATCAAAGGTGCTAAGGAAAGGTCTGTGTACCGTATGTTAGATACACAGGGGTGTAGGAAGGTAGCTGTTTCACCCCTCATCACAGCAGTCAACAGACCCTCAAAACCCTAAGACAAAGCAATCAAGGCAGTGTGGATTGGATGTAAGCGAGTGAGTTATATGTCTAGTGCGCAAGTCGAGTCAAACGATGCCACGTCGGCGCTTTGCAGGCGGTGCAGAGGGCACAGGTGCAGCCACATCAGGCACAACAAAGCAGTCGTCCGCATCCGGCAACATGGCGGACGCTGCAGCCGCTGCCGCTGCTCCTCCCCTTGCACGCCCCCCCATTCCCACAAACACGCCCCCTGACCCCGCACCAGCACCAGCAGCACCTCCAGCAGTGCTCTGCCCAGCAGCAGCGGCAGCAGGGGCGATGGGGGGAAGCGGCGGCGTGGCAGTCATGAGAGAGAAGGCGGTGGAGAAGGGCGAGAAGGGGCCAGCAGCAGCGGCGGCGGTGGAGGGGGCGATCTGCGGCACCTCGTGCAGCGACTCGGCGTACATCTGCTCGTCAAACAGACTGAGGTCCGCCGTCCAGTCAAAGTCGCCCAGGTCGTGCGCCTCCGCCTGGGGTAGCGCTCGCACAGGTTGGAGTGCGGTGATTGGGGAGGGGCGGGGGAGAGCGGCAATGGGGGGGAAGGGAGCGGAACGGGGCGAACAGGGACGAACGGAACGGGGAAAAGGGGGGAGGGAAGGGCGGAATGATGGGTTGAGGTCCTGTTGGGACAATAAGGGAAGGATTGAGTCGGGCACGTGCAAACAGACACTTTTGAACAGGCTGTGTTCCATTGCCCACCCTCACCACACACACCCACGCAGCACGCGCAATTCCACCCACCCTCCCCCTCCTTTCCTCCCCCTCAGCCGCATGAATCTAGCCGCACAGCCGGTCCGCTGTCTTGCCCATGGCCCTCGCGTCACCCCTGAACGGCTCACCTTGGAGGACCCCACGTCCGCCAGCGTGTACCCGCCCGCCAGCTCCGGGATGTTCAGCAGCTCCTCCACGCGCCAATCCGCGCCCCCCCCCGCCTCGCACTCCCCCGCCCCCCCGCCCTCGCCGCCTCCCATCTCTCCGCCGCCACCAAATCCCCCTCCTTCCCCTGCCCACGATGCCCCCCCTCCCCCACCTCCCCTTCCCCCGTGACTCGGGGCACCCGCCCCCTCCGCGCCACTGGCCAGCGCATCCGCCCCTGCACCCATCCTTCCATTGCCAGGGCCTTCAAAGCCCTCCGCTGCGTCATTCGCCGCCTGCGCGGGAAACGAGAACTCCGAGGCGCCCCCGCTTCCGCCGAAGCCCGCGGGAGATCGTCCGGCCAGGCTGCTGGCGCCGCTGCCCGCGTACACGTGGCCTGGCAGCTGACCTGGCGCCGTGTGATTGGCGGTTGCCAGCGACGAGCCCCAGTCCGCCTTGCCCCTCCGCGACGATCCTTGCCCGGGGAGGTTTGAGGCAAACGCGGAGTTCCCCTTACGGCTGCTGCGATACGACGCAGGCGCGGCTCCCGCAATACCCGCGACGGGAACAGTGGGCGCAGCGGCTGCAGTGGCTGCGGCGGCGCGCGCTTGTGCGTGCGTGTTGTTCGTCGGCGGGGTGGGGGAGGACGGCACTACCGCTACAGCGGCGGCGGAAGCGGAACGAGAGGGCGGGGAAGCGGGCGGCCTGGGGGTGACAAGAGGCGTGACAGCTGCGGCGGGAACAGAGGGACGAGGCAGGGGGGCCGCAGCGGAAGCAGCGAGGGAAGCTGCTAGCGGGTGCGGGCGGGGGGCGGAGGCAGCTGCGGGGTTAAAGGCGGAAGCGGAATGCGGAGAGGGCGCGGCAAGGGCGCAGGCGAAGGGAGAAGAGGGGGGGGGCTGCGGAAGGGAGACATCTGCGGGAAGCGCTTCGAGCGCCACCCGGCCGTTGGGGAGGAGGAAGCGGCGATGGCGCGCGGAGAGGGAGTTGGGGAGGTGGATGGCGACGTCGCAGGCGCGGCAGAGGATGGCGCGGTCCTCCACGCAGAAGAAGAACGCCGGCTTCTCCTGCCGCACGAGATGCGCGTGCGCCGTGCGCGCGGGGAGAACGAGAGGACGACGGGGGGGGATGCGGTGTGGAGGAGAGGATGGAACGGCACGGAGGGAGTGAGGGAGGGGAAAGGGTGTGTGGGAGAGGGGGCGGATGGAGGGAAGGGAGGGGAAGGGAGGGAGTAAGTGATGGCGGAAGGGAGAAGCATAGGGGACGAGGCGGGTTCACGGTATCTCCACGCTCACATGCGCACGCGTCAGCCCCACCTGTCTCTCAGGCACCGTGAAAGGAAGATGCACCGCGCCTGAGCAAATGAAAGTGGAAACTATTCTTCACGTGTCGTTTCCGCACCCGAGAACCTGGATTTACGAAAGATATTGTACTGTTTCTCCAGTGTTCTCTCTCATGCTCCTCCTGTCTTGTTTTGCTTCGCTGTGCTGCGCTAATATTTGTATTTTCCCCTTAACGAACGTTCTTACGCCCGTGTAGGTGTTACCTCGTGCGGCAGTCCTCAGCCCGGCCCGCACCTGGCAGATGTCGCACACGGGTCGCTCGGCGGGGTCCGGCTGGCCTATGGGCACGCGCTGGTGCTGCTTCGCCACTTTGTTAGCGGCGTGCACGCGCCGGTCGCACTCCGCGCATAGCGCCGCCTCGTCCGCGCAGCAGATGAGCACCGCCGCGTGCCGCTCGCACACATCGCACTGCACACGCATGGGGGCGAGCTGTCACCGCCGAGAGCCGACGAGAAAGGGGGTGCGCGCACGACACCACGGAGAGAAACCCTGACGGACTGCGATTCCGGTAAGGACAGGTAGCTTAGATTAAACTGAAGCTATAGCTGAGCAGACTGAGGAGACTGATTCGACGGCGTCCTTTGGAAGAATACGGCGCACATCAAATGGAATTCGAGAAGCTCCGACGGGGCAGTCAGGGCCCGTCAACAAATGGAGTTAATCGCAATATGGATTTCACAAGAAAACAATTCTATTGAACGTCACAAAGAGCGACAGCCTACAGGCACACCACTGCTGCCTCACGGGAGTCATGCGATAGCCCTGCAGCAACTGCTGAGCGGAGGCAAGGGAAGAGAAAAGAGAGGAGGAAGGTGGGGTGCGCTAGCGCAAGAGTAGGCGAAATGACGCGCATCGGCGGAAATCTCGATTCTCTCAATGAAATCGACCCAAATTATCGTGACCTCGCCACGTCGGCGTTTCTCTCAATTGGATGGACCGCTATTGCGCGCCCCCCCCAAAACCGATTTTCCGCCCTTCCCGTCCGAAATTCGGGCAACCGCTTGGAATCTCGTGGAATCACAAACAGTCACGAATACATGCTTTCCACATCATGCCAAATCCTCCACGTAGTTGTGGCAAGCCACATCAGCTTTTGCAATCGACTTTTGACAATTTCGGCGGCTGCATCTCAACCTCAAGAGCATCCTATGCACGTTGATTGTACCATGTTTTTGCGGATTAGCCCATGCGCACAGAAAAACACATGACAAATAAACTATAGATTTTGCCTTTTTAATATCTTTATATTAAACTTCTTCCGTGAAACGTCTAAATTAATCTATCAAATTATAAATAACATTTTTTAGATTATGTAGACATTTTGTTTGACTATACTGATTTATATTATCCAGAATAGAAATTATATCCTCCGATTACAAAGATTGAAAAATCAATGTTAATGCAGTGTCATATATTAATGAAACCCTTATTACTGCTAAGGATCTTTTTCACAATCAAAATTACTCTATTTGTTATGCTTTATCTATAAATGACTACAAAATAAATCAGGTTATAACTACTGGGTATATTTTATATGGAAAACAGAAGCAAAGGTGCACGTCATTTAACATTGAAGATTCCAAACGCACTGCTTGCATATCACTTTGACGCGCGAATTAATTCACCGGTTTTCTGTCCAATCAGATGTCGCTCGCATATTGAAATCTTAGCGTTACGAAAAAAGCGTGTATTTGTGACTGTTTGTGATTTCAAGAAATTCCAGCGGGTGCCCGTACTTCGAACGGGAAGGGCGGAAAATCGGTTTGGGGGGGCGCGCGCAAAAGCGGTCCATCCAATTGAGAGAAACGCCGACGTGGCGAGCTCGAAATAATTTGGGTCGATGCAATTGAGAGAAGCGCGATTTCCGCCGATCCGCGTCATTTCGCCGCAAGAGTAGCTTTCGTTCAGATACAGTTCCATGTGGATTCTCGCGAGCACAAACGAAATTCAAGGTCGAAGGGTGCCTACGAGCTCAAAGGTAGTTTAGCCAAATATTTTAGAGTTCTTCGCAATACCAGTACAAAATAAGTTGCCCTGTTTCAGAGTCCAACGATGTTTGTTCCTCCCAGTAACCGTATGCCTCGACGAGGCCCCAAGAACCCAATGCAAGAAACGAACACCTTGGTAACTACCGTTAGGGCTCATAAGGCCGAGTAGCTTCAACCATGGACGGATTTCAGTTGGTTTCGCTGACGTCAGGATTATTTCTAAAAAACAATACAGAAATTCTTGTAGCTCAGGTGTACAGAAAAAAGCATGGCAATTGTACAACCAAGCTGCTGTGCTGTGTGGACTCGGGACTCGCAAAATCTGTGCGGTGAGATTTGCGTCGTGAGTTACATTATTTGTGGCCACAATTTATTCGGCAAAGAGTGCACAGCACAGCCCCCGCACCATTCGATTCTCGAGCAGCGCGGCGAGAGTCATCAGCCAGTCCACCTGTCGCACACATGCTCGAAGATTGGTCACGAACTAGCTGGAGATTCGTGACGACCGAAAGGTTTTTTCTTCACCAATTGATTTCCGTGAGAGTGGGGAAAATCTATATTTCAAATCGAATTGCCAGGCCCTATATTATCATAGTAAATGCCCTGACTGAATAACGGCACGGTCCTTGTGGCATTTTCTTTCCTGTCGCATCAAATTAACTTACGTTTCGTTTCCTAGTACCTTTGGACTGCATTAAACAAGGGTATTGCGTGGACTTTGCCACGAATGTCAGCTGTGTGTTATGGGCAACCCAATACTGTCGCATTTTGGTCCTGATGCGCATAACCGATTGCGTCGCATTTGCCCCACCCAAGTAGTTGGAAGTGGGCACTAGAATGCGCGATCTAGTCTTCCCAGGACTACTGGTGTCGTCCTGGGGGGAATGGTTGCGTTGACCCACCAAGGAAACATGCTCTTTTATCTCAACGAACTGGAGCTATGCTTGCATGATACAGTGAGCGTAGAGGACTGGGGTTCAATTATTGCAGTTCATATACTTTCTGTTCCTTAGTGAATGTTACAATCCCAAGTGGGACTTACCAAAGGATCGCTCAGGGTTGATCGCAGAGTAGTGTTGCAGCGGAAGTTTGAATCTCAGGTCAGAGTGAATGTAAATGACTGAGTTGATAATAGCATGCATACATCGAGTTTATATAAGAGTACAGGGAATACGAAAAGACCTAGACTAGCCATGTACTCTAAGGGGTACATTCCTTTATTACAACCGAATTCAAACCGTGCGGCGCGGGAACCCGTTTCAAACCTGTTCCCGCTCTTTTCACTTCAAATATTTCTGCCAGCATCGGTCTTGGTCAGGCGGTTGCTGCGTCGCTTCGACTCTTCTGACTCCTCGACTTCGTACTCGGTAGAGTCGGCTCCTGCAGCATACAGGAATGCCTTCTCATAAAACTTCATATCGTAACACTCCCCTTCATTCCTGGACGCGGGTGGAGCTGACTCGCTTGACTACTCCGGTGAGGTCAGAGCAGTATTTGTACTGCTGACGTGGCAGACGCTTGGTGAGAAAGTCTGCTGCCATCTCAGTGGTCGGGCAGTAGGCGAGGTCAACTTTGCCTTGGTCGATTTCGTCCTTGACGAAAAAGTACCGAAGCGCGATGTGCTTCGTGCGGTTCACGAAACCTGGCTTGTTCGCGATCCTGATGGCACTCTGGTTGTCGCAGTGAAGGCGAAAGGTGGGCGAAGTTGGAATTTTCGCCTCCTGTAGCAGCTCCTGCAGGTACAGGCCTTCGCGAACTGCTGCTGTCGCGGCGATGTATTCTGCTTCAGCCGATGACAGGGCAACCAGCTCCTGCTTCTGCGAGTTCCAGGAGATTGGCCCAGTTTGTTCCAAGCGAAAAACGAAGCCGGTTCGGGACCGTCGATTTGCAGGGTCAGCTGCATGATCTGCGTCCACGTAGCCGTTGAGGTTGAAGGAGGTGGTCGTCAGCGTGGAGTAGGAGAGCCCAATGTCAAGAGTAGAGATGAAGTACTGCAGGGCGCGCTCCAGGTCCAGCTGGTTCTCTGCTACTGGCTTGCGGGAGTGTTGCGCCAGTTGGCTGGCGATGTACGAAAGGTCGGGTCGGCAGGTGACAGAGGCGAATAGCAGGCACCCCAATTTCTGCTGGTACATTTGGAGTCCTGCGGGCGACAGTGGTTTGTTGTCCGGTTTGTAGTTGGCGCTGGGGTTGCGGTAGGGAGTTGAAAGCGGTGCCGGGGAGATGTTGAAGCGTTGCCCTAGCTGTTCCGCGTACTTGGAGGCTGACAGATGAATTGCTTCTGGCGCGTAAGTGATGTTTAACCCCAAAAACTGCTTCACTTCGAGGTTGATGGTAATGTCCACGCGCTGCGCCAGGTTCTCCTGAAACTGATCGAGGAGCTTGTTGCAGGTGCCCGTGTACAGCAGGTCGTCGACGTAGACTGTCAGGAGGATGTAATCGCTGCTGAAGTGAAGGCGATACATTCCCGGGTCGTGCGGGAGCTGTTTGAAGCCGATTTCGAGGATGATTTTGTGCAGATGCTGCTGCCAGAGGCGAGGCGCCTGCTTGATCCCGTAGAGGGACTTCTTCAGTTGACAGACCCTGGGATCACCTTCTCCGTAGGTGTGCGGCTGCTCCACAAAGATGGTGGCATCCACCAACGCGTACAAAAACGCGTTCTTCACGTCGATCTGTCGCAGTGGCAGGTGCTTCGCGGCGGCAATAGCGAGTAGAATCCGGACTGAAGTGTGGCGGCTGACGGGAGCGAAGGTTTGATCGAAGTCGATGCCGTGGCGCTGATCGTACCCGCGTACGACTCAGCGTGCCTTGAAACGCTCGATAGTGCCGTCAGCGTTAGTTTTCAGGCGAAAGACCCACTTCCCGCTGAGCACCCTCCTCCCCTTCACTGCTGCACGATCGACTAGGACCCAGGTGTCACGTGATTCCAGCGCCTTGAGCTCCGCATCCATCGCAGCACGCCACTCCTTGGCGTGTGGGCCGGTTAGGGCCTGCCGAGGGTTCTTTGGCTCCACGGCCCGTGTGAGGGTGGAGACGGATGTGTGTAGGCCGAGGAGTTGAAGGCCTGACACAGTGGTGGTGTCTGTGTTGATGGGGACTTCCACCACGTCGTCATCTCCACTCTCATAGCCGGGTGCTACGGTGCTTGGCTCTGCTTGGCGCCGTGATGGTCCTGGCGCGGGGTCGTCATCGCTGTCATCGTCGTCGTCGTCGCGAGGGCGAGGTGGGATGCTGGGATGTTCGTCGGTGTCGTCGCGGTCCAGTGCTGCTGCTGCTGCTGCATCTTCTGGAGTCGCGAAGCTGCGACCGTGGTTGACGTAGCCGCGTGCTTCGTTGCGGCACTCGTCCTCGATCCACTGCTTCAGGGTGAGTCGCTCGTAGAAGAGGATATCGCGTGCGGGGACAACCTCCTTGCTGTCCATGTCGAGGATGAGC